CTAGGCGGGCCGCGTAGCGCAGGTACTGCCCCGACGGGGCGGGAGAGGCGCGCCGGGGAGGGACACCTGGCAGGGCGCAGGGTGGGAGGCATAGGTGGGCTGGGGATCCGGGCATCGATGCATTTTCTCCGTCCCAGCCTGAGCCATCGTGGCGCAGGAGACAGAATCCCCTCCCCGATGAATCCCGTGGGGGAAACTGAGGTCCAGAGAAGGGAAGGAGACCTAGGTCGCTCCTAGGCAGGGCTAGGATTTGCGTCTCCCCAAGCCCGAACTCCAGGAACTGCCCCCTGCCATGTGGGCAGGGAGGGTAGGGCGGCGGTGGGAACACCTGTGCCTTCGAGCTCTGTCCCAGTCCGTCTCTGGTTCAGCTGAACCCTGAGATTCTGCTTTTAGTTCTCTGGAAATAGCTCCATCTCTATGGCCCCAGATCAGTGCCTGACCCTTCGCCCCCTCCTGCCAGCCCTCAGGCTGCCTCAGTCCCCTCTCAGATCTGGGCCAGAATTCAGACTTCCCAGTTCTGGGATGGGGTGTGAGGCCAGAAATGAAACCTGAATTGCCCCTGGATGGCGGGACCTGTCTGTTCTCCTGTTGCTGACCACACGTCTGTGCTTCAACAGACTGGACCCCAACCGCAACCAGTCCTCTCTTAGGTCCTCAAACGCTCAAGACACTTTGGGTCTTTGGCGAACAATTCCATTTCCCTTTTGGGTCAGCAGTTGGTTCCTGTGGCAGAGCAAAGCTCTTAGGGCAGAGGAGACGGAAGATCACCTCATAACCCCCAAGAGCACATATGGGACAGGGAGGCTTGTCGAAATGAAGGAATCTGGCCAATCAGTATCAGAGCCGGAATAAAACTCAGGGCTCAAATCCCAGGCAAGGGTCTTTCCACTGCTACAACCTCCCAGGCTCTAATATGGTTTATGTAAGATTTAAACATCATTACCAAAACTCCAGCTTCAGTCTTGCTAGAGAGAGGCTGCACTCAACTATTTTCTGGGTGTTCAGTCTCATTTGGCCAGTGATGCTGCATGCCTCGGGTTGATATGTGTTGTCTTTCCCTCTCCTGCATCTTTCTGGATAACGTTGAGAAGGAGCACACGGAATCTTTCCTGCACCAGCCCCCAGTGGGGTAGGTTTGAAATGGTGACAGCATTGTAGCTGAGCCAGAAGGTGGCAGGGTTCACAAGGGTTAAATTCTGCTGGTAGCTAGCTGGTTGCTCCAGACTGGGAATAGAGGGAAAGCCTTTATTCTAGAAGTAAATCTTAACCTCAGGTCCTGACTCAGCTCCCTGGGGGATGGGACTGGGAGAAGGAGGAAGGATTTTGCATGGGGTGGCTATTGTTCCCCCTAAGCAGCCTGGTCCTTTATTACCTGGAATCCAAACTCATCTTGAATGATAATCCCATAATAAACATCACATTCCACCCTTTTCCAAATTCCCTCCCTTTTCAATCAGAAAAGTTGCTAAACTTTGCTATGAGCTTTTATTTCTAGCATAACTATTAGAATTGGCAATATTGTGAATATGGAAACATTTTAGGAAATCCAGATTCTCATTTTCTTGGTTTCCGAGAATCAAAGTGCTGCTGTCTAGTAAAGGAGGGTGAGATTCAAAAGCAATTAATGATAGGGCAACTAATAATTTCCAGGGGGGTCCAAATCAGGAAGTAACCAGATGTTCACAGAATTTCCCACCATCTGAGCCAAGCCCCTATAGTATTAGTTTCCTCTTGCCGCTCTAGTAAATTATCATGAAATTAATGGCTTAAAAACAACACATTTATTATCTAAGAGTTCTGCAGGTCAGAAGGCTGACACTAGTCTCACCAGACTAAAATCGAGATGTCAGCAGGGCTGCGTTCTTTTTGGAGGGATATAGGGGAGAATCTGTTTCCCTGCCTTTTTCAGTTTGTTGAGGCTGCCCTCATCCTTGGCTCGTGGCCTTTTCCCTCTCTTTTCAAAGCCACCGAAGGCAGATTGAGTCCTTCTCACATCTCATCACTCACATCTCTTCCGCCTCCCTCTTCCATTCCTAGTGACCCTTGTAATTACATTGGACCCACGCTAATAATCCAGGATAACCTCCTCATCTTAAAATCTTTGACTTAATCTCACCTGTGAAGTCTCTTTTGCCCTGTAAAGTAACATACTTACATTACAGGTTCTGGGGTTTAGGATATGGACATCTTTGGGGGGGGGTGTTATTCTGCCCACTGCACCCGCTGTAACTTTGCATAGAGGATTCCGTAGGAAAACCAAGTGGAGAAGGAAGGAATCAGGCACGTTTACTTATAAGAACATGACTTTGATATTAATAAGGACACATTTTGGTGTTGATGAAAGCATTGTCGAATATGGAGTTCATGTCATCATGTAATTTTCCTTGCTCTTGATCCATGGTAATGAAGAAGTAAAGTGAAATTCAGGAGTTTTTTTTTTTTTTTTTTTTTTTTAAGACTTAATTCCTTTTGGCTTAACTAAATACATGACATGCGGCATATTTCAGGGTGCTGGCTGAAAGTCAATAAGCAGGATGTTTACTAGGCACATGAGATAATGTTGATTTTTGGGGTGGAAAATGTTGCCTTAGAGAGAGGTAATCATGTAATGAAAAGCCCCCTAGGCTGGGAGCCAGGAAAGCTGGACCAATCCATGTTCTACCCCTTTCTAGCTCTTACGTCTCCCTGAGACTCAAGTTTCTCAGCTGTAGAATGAATAGAAAAATCTGTGCACCTCTGACTTCACGGGGTTGTTGTGCTGGCACCCTGTGACCTCTAAGGTGCTATTGAAAGTAGGATATTATTTATTTTCTTAATTGAACCTCCAAGAAGCAGGATAAAAACAAAAGGATAACTTTCAGTTTTTAAAAGAGGTAATTCTTGTCCCAGGTAGGGTTTTTTTTTTTTTTTGGCTATAAACTGCTTAGTGTGGGAATTTGTTCTGAATCCACCTTTTTGCCCTACTCACTGAGTGAACTGCCTTAGAGTAATATCAACTTCTAGCCTCTGTCAGGAAAGGAAAGAACTTTGATTAGTGCCTCATGCTCAGGGATCTTATTTTTATTTAGGGCTTATTTTTATTGAGAGAGAGAGAGAGAGCGCGCGCGAGCGAGCGAGCAGAACAAGATTGGGGGCAAAATGATAAGAAAGAATAGATAAAAAAAAAAATTACTGTTACTGCAATGTGCCAGGTACTTTTGCGTAGGAAAGATCTAAGTTCATCGACGGCAAGGAATCTGGCTTATTTGCCTTTGTAGCCCCAGGGCTTACTTAATACATGGGAGGCCGGCAAAAAATTTTGGTGAATGAAAAAATGAAAGAGGTGACTAAGAGTTCGATGGGGCAGTAGGACAGATACCAAGTTGCAATTTCTGTTTCTTAAGACAAGACATACTCACAAAATCGGAAGTGCAATAAACATGGATCAGATTAGGTTGCCATTTTTCTTTCTATTTTCAACTTGGCTCAGGGGAGCTGGGCCCAGAGTTTACTAAACACGAGTGAATGACCAGATGGGAGGGAGATGTAAAGCTACTCTGGAGAGTGTCCGCCCCTCACGGAAGTGGGCAAGGGGCTGCCCTGGGAGTTCACCTTTCACACTGTTTAGGGACATTTTGTCCCCTTGACTAAGAGGGCCAAGATGCCCAAGAAAGGTCTGGAATCCATTCATTCATGGGAGTCACGAGGAACCTTGGGAACAGAACTTGAAGCAGAGGGATGAAGTTCTGAGTGAAATTTCCAGGCTCAGTCGGCCTGTTGCTGAGGTATCGGCAGATATTTCACGCTCTATGTGAATTCTCACTAGGGGATTCTGAAGGCCTAGGTGCTTCCGACACCCAAAGGGCGACAGTCTTGAGATGTCAGCAGGCAGTGGGGCGTTTGGAGGTAGGGGACGCTGCCTTTCCTGGCCTCCAATCCCAGAGTTCTCCGGGTGTGAGGAATCGCCCCATTTCTGAGTATGGTCAGATCCAGTCACCTCTGTTCCCCACACCCTTCCTTGCAGGTGTTTGCAAGAGCAGGCCCTTGGACTTGGTGTTTATCATCGACAGTTCGCGCAGTGTACGGCCCTTGGAGTTCACCAAAGTGAAAACCTTTGTCTCTCGGATAATCGACACTTTGGACATTGGCGCGGCGGGCACGCGGGTGGCAGTGGTGAACTATGCCAGCACCGTGAAGATCGAGTTCCATCTCCAGACCCACTCGGAGAAGCAGTCTCTGAAAAAGGCCGTGGGGCGAATCACACCCTTGTCCACAGGCACCATGTCTGGCCTGGCCATCCAAACAGCGATGGAGGAAGTGTTCACAGTGGAGGCCGGAGCTCGCGGGTCCAGCTCCAACATCCCTAAGGTGGCCATCATCGTGACAGATGGACGGCCCCAGGACCAGGTGAATGAGGTGGCAGCTCGGGCCCGGGCGTCTGGTATTGAGCTCTACGCTGTGGGTGTGGACCGGGCGGACAAGGAGTCCCTCAAGATGATTGCCAGCAAACCCCTGGACGAGCACGTGTTCTACGTGGAGACCTACGGGGTCATTGAGAAACTTTCCTCTAGGTTCCAGGAAACCTTTTGCGGTAAGTCTTTGCCTTCAACTAGAAAGGATATTAGAGTCAGACATTATGAATCCAAAGAAAAAGAGAATTCTTTTTTTTTTTTTTTTGTGGAAATTTTACGGAAAACTGAAATGTAAGCAATGCTTTTTTGTCTGGATTTTTTTTTTTTTTTAACCAACTTAAGCACACTTTGTTGGTTTAGGAATATAGAGCTGCCTTATATATAACTTAGTTTGCTCATAAACTCTCCGTGTTTGCATTAGAAATGTGAAAGTCTGGAAATATCCAGGATAAATGATCCTGCTGTTCCCTGATGGGCTCAGAAAAAAATAAAAATAAAGAAGAACTCAAGACGCCTCTCTGCTCCCCTCTGCCCACCACTACATTTTTTCCAGATATTTTCTTTAGCTTTACCATCTCAAGACTTCACAGAACTCTGCTTGTTTTCCTGCAGAAGGCAGGACCCTGCATCTGTCCATGCAAGAATCAGCTGGCCTGAGTTCCAGTGTAACTGGAATATGTAGTGAATACCTAGTTTTCAGGTTCAGCTCTTCCTCTGTTTATTCTTTATGGAGGGACAAGATTAAGAATCGGCGAGTGAGACCGAGATTTCAGCCCTACTACTGCCCTACTACTCCATTCTTCCTTTAGGATATAGTTTGAAATTGGAATTTTTAGCATGGATTAGCCAAATCTATGACTATGAATCCATTCAATTCCAGGCCGGAGCTTATTATTAGTCACCGGTCAGAATGATGAATTTGTGGGATTCATACTTCATTTTTATTTTAAAACTTATTTGTTTATTCTATCTATCATCATCTTCTTTCTTCTTGCTTTATTTTCTATGATCTGTAGATACTCTTTTGAAGCCCTCAATGGAATTTTCCATGCAGATATGGACAAATTTCTAGTTTAGTTTTAGTTTAAAACATAGCTACCGTTTTCTATATAATCTATCCCACATTTATTTATTCGACATGCATTTATTGATTGCTGATGACACAAAGATAAAGTTAGTCCCTCTCTACCATCAAGCAACAGCCTGGGGTAAGGATGAGACAAACAAATGAACTTAAAATTGCAACTGTAAATTTCAAGGAGCTTTTATATCTAAATTAAAGGGAAATTCAGCAATCGCCAGTTTATCAGGAAATGGGAGATGAAGTCTTGGTCTGGAGCAAAGTTTGGCCTCATCTGAGCCAGACCTGGCTGGGATCCCCTTGTCTTTCCTGTCCTAGGACACTGGGCTTTCATAGCTGTCGCTGGCTTTGGTGGCATCTACTTGGTTTCCCAGGAGAAAATGGCTTTCTTTCTCCCAGGAAAATCCCCCCATGCTTGTGTGTGAGAGATTTTCCATAGACACGCTGGTCTGTGGCAAAGTTGGGTCTCATAGCTAGCACCTGGGACTGAGCTTGAAGGCCATAAAGTAACAAGTGGTGAGTGGCAGTCTTTTCCTTTTGGTACAAAAGACCTGCTTGTTCTGGGGGCGGGGGGATGTCTTCTCTATGGAAAAAAAGACTGAGGAGCAGCTTGTTGTGGTCCATCGGCTGAAAAGGCTCTTCTTGGGAAAATATTAGCCTTGTCTTGTTGCCAAAGCAGTGGAGGCCAGGTTACCTGCCACAGGAGTGCCAGCCTCCTCCAACAGGCCTCCTCAGTTTCACAGAAATGACTAAATTCACTGATTCTTTTTTCAAAATATCACACTAGGAAAAAAATTCAACGCGATATAAATGGCTCCAGAAAGGAAAAAATGGAGATACAGTTTAGCTCATGTAATCTCAATTATTTTGTTCTTTCTTTTCTTTTTACCTGTTTGCATATAGCGTATGAGTTTATTCCCCTTACGGATATTAGAGGCCCCGAAGTTGCATATGTGTACCTTTGCTACATATGCAGAAGGTAGGCGGTTCCTTGCATGGTGCTGTCTATCATTTGCATGTTCAAATATGCATCATTGCCCAAGCGTGAGCGAGTTTCAGGCCTAGAAAAATGCCTGTGTGTAAATTCTGTTCAGACACAAACTATAGAACCCTTGGAAACCAGATTCTGGCTGTGATGGGACAACTAGCTCATAGTACTATGAGAAATACATTATCATTCTCCCCATTTCTTGCTTTGGGGAAGCAAAAGTCCTTTTCATGGACAAGTAGATAAGCTGAATAGATATCAAGCTGCCCGACCCATGTGTGTCTGGCTTCCACTCCAAATTAAAAATCCTCGTTCTCCTTTGAGAAAGTCGATAACAAGATCTGTGATTTTAACTTAGTAGCGTTACTAGTTGAAGAAGGGTATTTCTTATAAGCCAGAGGCAGGAACAAATAGCCAGTGGTTATAGTGAACTAAAGGTAGAATGGGAAAGAAACTGGAGAGCGATGTCTTTTTGACATGGGAGAAAGTGCCTGAAATGTTTCTTATGTGTCGACACTGACTACTGTCAAATTCCTTTGCACAGCTGTGGACCCGTGCATGCTTGGCACACACCGGTGCCAGCATGTGTGTGTTAGTGACGGGGATGGCAAGCACCACTGTGAGTGCAGCCAAGGATATTCCTTGAACGCCGATAAGAAGACTTGCTCAGGTGAGGCGCGCTTACCGGCTGACTAGAACTCGTTTGGGGACCTGTCTCCAGGTTTTGGACTGGCCTTAAGCTTTTGTCCTAACTGCCTTTTGGCTGGTTTACTGTTGTTTATCACAATTTTTCTCGAAAAAGAACATGAGAAGAAAAGTGAGGTAATACATCAATCAGCCTATCACAGTATTTATGACCAGTTTTAGAGAAGAGGATTCATAGGGAAAAGGGTTAATAAGGAAGGGGGCCAAAATTCTTTGTCCTTTTGAGGATTTGGAATTTTTTTCTGGATTTTATTTAACTAAATTCAAGCTACTGTTTCCTCTCTGTGACCATAGATGCTCATGGAATCTAGAAGAAAATTTAGGGAGGTCCTCACTCATCCGGTATATGAATACTTACATATGGTCAATGAAGAATGGGAATTAGGCCCATTAAAAAAAAAAAAATCCTAGATAAAAGTTTTTGAGAGGAACAAAACTTGGAGATCATTTCATTCTCATTTTATAGATAGTGAAACTGAGACCCAAAGATAGGAGAAGACTTTCCCATGTCACAGGGTCTCTTAGTGAGAGCCAAGACCACAAAGTCGGCTTGCACCTTCCAGCCCAGTAGCTCTCTTGGGCCAAGCTGTCCCATTCCACAAGCAGTGTGTGTGTGAGTGTGTGTGTGTAATATGGTCCATAATTATTTACTTACCACGTTTTCATGTGTTCACATTTGTCTTGGTCATTTTTGATAGCAATCGATAAGTGTGCTCTTAACACTCATGGATGTGAACATAAATGTGTGAAGGACAGAACTGGCTCTTATCATTGTGAATGCTATGAAGGTTACACCTTGAATGAAGACAGGAAAACGTGTTCAGGTAAGTCGGGGAGGAGGATTTACTATTGCTACCTCTCTGTCTACCTATCTCCCTGGCCAGTGTTGGAGGGGTAGGTCACACTGATGGAACTTGATCTGGTTTCCTCTCTTGCCACCTTTGGCTGTTTCCATTTCCGAGTCTTGTTAGAAAAGTTAGAAAGGGTAGCACGTGTGTATCACGGCCCACATGTGTGAGCGTGTAGTTCAATCTCTTCTCTGTACCCAGCCCAACAGAGAAGACAATTTAATAAGTTAAAGTCAAATAACACCCCATAGGATATTTATTACCTGCAGAGGGAAAACAGTAACTTCATAGTGGCGTAAACTGGCAGACAGCACTTTAATCAAGTGATCAAATTTAACATCAAAGCAATGACACATAGTGACATCATGCAGCCCCTGACAAAATGGACCGCCACTTCAGTGCTTCTGTGGTATTCTTAATAAAACTTCAGAATCACAAGGAAACATCAGACCACCCCAGACCGAGGGACATCCTACAAAGTAATTTTCCAGTGCTTTTCAAAAGTGCCAAAGAAAGGCTGAGGAAATGTTATAGATTGGAAGAGACTAAAGAGATGTGACAATTTATTATAATGCGTGATCCTCGTTTGGATCCCAGACCAGAAAAGAAACATTGGTGTCGCATCACTGGCAAAATTCGAATGATCAGTTAGATTAGTAGATTAGTAATGAACTAATCTTTAGATTAGTTAATAGGATTATATTAGTATTAATTCCTAGTTTTGATTGTTTATGCTATGGATATATAAGACGTTAACATTTGAGGAAACTGGATGAAAAACAAGACTTTTTTGTACTCTTTTTGCAACTTTTTCATATGCCCGAAACTATTTCAAAAAGAAAAGTTTGAAAATAGAAAATAGTTAAAATAATATGTCAGTGCAGGGAAAAGTGCATCGAGTGACAGTTTGGGTCCTGAGTTCTGATGCTGCTCTGGGTAAGCTGGTCTCTTTTGGATTCAGTTTCCTCATTTATAACAGGAGAGGATTGAACTATAATTTCTTCAAACTCTAATTCTATGTCTTTTTGAATCTAGTATAATTAATCACACAACTGTTGGTATCCCTCTGATTCAGCATAAATACAAACAAATCTAAAAGGAATGCTGTAGACAGTAATATGAGATACTTAGATTATAAAAAACGATATTAGATGATTTTGGAAAGAAGGTGGGGGAAGTCGAAGAAAATGTATTGTGTGTGTAGGATTTTGTTTCACTCAGTTAACCAGTAAGAGTAAATAGTACGGATGGCTTTCATAGATTCTTAATAGATTTTCTTTTTACATATTTTTAGCTGCAAATAAGATTTCTATATATGGGTAATAAAAGACTTTTCCACTTTTTCCCTGGACTTCTGTCTGGCAGCTCAGAATCAATGTGTTTCTGGCACACATGGTTGTCAGCACGTTTGTGTGAATGACAGAGCTGGGTCCCATCACTGTGAATGCTATGAGGGCTACACTCTGAATGAAGATAACAAAACTTGCTCAGGTAAGGCCCACTTGACCAGTTCTTTCATACTTGGCTCCTTCTGTTGCAGTGAAACCAAGTTGCGATTCAGAGAGATTCTTCAAGGGAATTTAAAGAATCGGGCTTCAGACATTCTACTATGCTTATAGACTAAGGGACATATTGCCCAGAGGGCAATGAGATCACTAGATTCTGAAAACATAGATCACTTTGGAAAATTACTGGAAAATAGGTAGGGAATGGGGGAATATGAGAAGAACTAATCGAATGTAGAATCCTTATCCAGGAAAATTTTATAGTTCTGGTCACTGGGGGCTTGTAAAGCAAATGGGAAACTTTAGAAGAAATCCATTGGACAGTAACTATTTGTTGTTGTGATAGGCTGAAATTACACTTCTTTTTCCAATTTAAATTTGGCTTGGAACTTTTCTGTAGCGTTAATTTTAAAGCTAGATTGTGTTAGTAAAGGAGACTTTGTAAATAACTGAATTAGACCCACACAGATCTTCCAGTAAGTTTGAAGTAAGTTGTTCCCTGACAGTTTCTAGATGATCAATCTTCGGTGAATCTGAGCCTTATGACTTGGCTAACGAGCCTCTGCCAGAATGCTCATTCTCATTAACTTGATTTAAACTCACTGGCAGCATTTATAATATAAAAACACTCCTAAGAGAAATTCCTAGCCTTCCAGGTGGTATTTAGCTTTGACACATTCGATATTTTTTAGATTTTATGTATATTTTCCTCTCCCTTGAGGAGATATATTAGGTGACCTTTTCAAAAGAGATGAAGGGAAATAACATATCACAAATTTTCTCTTTTTAAAAAAATGACATCAGTGAAAGAGTACTGAGCACCCGTTTAGTTCCTAGGACTGTGCTGGGACTGCACTAGCTAGCATCGTGGGGACATAAAGAAGCATGAGTTTCTGCCTCTGAGCACCTTACAGGTTGGATCCAAAAAGAACCAACGCCTTAAGAAAGCAGACACTGAATAGCCAGGGAGAGGGACTGACAGTAACTTAAGGACTGTGGAGCCGGGAAGTCGACACTCAGCCGTTGGGACTGGAGGGGAGCCTTAGAGGATGGTGGAGGTTTAGATCTGGGAGTGGAGACAGGGCGCAGGCGAGGGGAGTGGCTTGCTTTGGCTTATTTGGGGGGGGGGGGCTACCTCAGGTGACATAGAGAGAACTCGTGGTTACACTTCTCAAACTGTTACAAGTATCCCACTTGGTACTTTAAGCTGCCAGGAACATTGAAGTCCTGGGAAAAGGAAAAAATATGAATTTCCATTTAAACAGATATTATGGAATAAAATGGAACATTTTATTTTTAAAGGAACCCACGAAACAGCAAAGAAAATTTTCAATCAGGGTGGATGGCTCCAGGAATAGCCTTAGATGCCAGTAGCCAAAATTCTTCAGTGCCTACTGTGTGCACGCATGGTTCTAGCATTTTAGACACAGACACGTTCAGTGCTCACAGCAACTTTATGAGGAAACTGAGTCTCAGACAGATTAAGTAACTTGCCCACGGTCACTTGGCGAATGAATAGCAAACAGAGCCAGGATTTGAACTCAGGCACTTGCTTTGATGGTTATAAATGCTCTTAAACACTAAGCCATACTGTCTCATGGTGCAAAGCAAAGGGCAACATTAAAAGAAAGACTATGGTGGAGAGTTAGTATTTATGTATTTTGGAGTAATAATGGATAGCACTGTAAAGTTGGGGTACATAACACGGTTGGATCCCTTATAATGGCCTGCTTTCTCCTTGCTGGGTAGTAGGAAGGCTCCTAAATGAAATGCGGAGGCCCAGGAGGGCGCCAGGAGTGGAGTCATGTTCAGTGTCATCTCCAGAGCTGGCCTGGCTGCTAAGCGGGGTTGAGGGGAAGGATGAAAATTTGTATTAGGCATTTTGCTGGAACGATCTGAGTTGTTTGTAACGATGAAAGGGAATATCAGTGTTAAAGTTGGAAAGACCCTTCATGGAGAGATCATACTTCACTATCCAATCATATACATCATCATCATCATTACCATTTTTCTATCGCGCACATGCGCGCATGTGCACGTGTGTGTGTGTGTGTGTGTGTGCGTGTGTGTGTGAAGGCCAGTGTTTTCTGCCCCACTTTGTAAACTACCAAGGGCAAGTTTTTGGTCATCAGAGTCCTTTTTGTACATCATCGAATTTAGCTCCATGGGCAACTAGGTCCCCAATTATAATTTTGGTGGCGGCGAAGAAGATCCATGTAGAGCTGGAGATGTTGGAGTCGTTGATGGTTATCAGGAAAGGCTGAAGGCGAGTTCTGGAATAAAATCAAGACTAGTGAGGGCGGCCGCACTGCTATGGATAGGAAAACCGAGAAGGCACCCCCAGATGTCAGCAAGAAATAAAAAGAAAAGGGGTATATGTAATAAAAGGTGAGGCTAAAGGGATGTGAGATGTAGGGGAGAAAAATAGGCTTCGTCTGAAACATGGGAGATTTGTTGCTGATGAGTGAAGAATTTGTTCTCAACACTTTTTGGGACCAAACCAGAAGCCTGTGTTTAGTTTCTCGTTGTAATGTGTGACTGTTTTCTTCCCTGCACCGCTCCTGGTCAGTTCGCGACCAGTGTGCCCTGGGCTCTCACGGTTGCCAGCACATTTGTGTGAGCGATGGGCCTGCATCCTACCACTGTGACTGTTACACCGGCTTCACCTTGAATCAAGACAGGAAGACATGCTCAGGTGAAGACTGTCCCTTTAATCCTAATTCGTTTAGTAGGACGATCTAGGAGTACGCTTTCCTCTCGCCAAGCCTGAAGCACAGTTCTGAGTCTTTCTCTTGGTTGGAATCCTCCAGTGGGTCCCAGCTGTCATCAGAATGAGCCATGTGATTCTTCTCTCTATGATCTGGTTCTATCCTCTCTTTAGTTAGAAAGAAAAATCACTCTTGGGCATTTTTTTCCTACTCCTGGAAGTGGAGGGGCGGGGGGTGGAATTCCAGTATGATTTATAACGATTTAGGCTCTGACCAAGTTTGTTTAGCCATTCACTTATTTATTTGTCCTGCAAGTATTCATGGAGCTACTGTTTTCTATCTAGTACTCTGCTAGATTCCGAGGAAGGAACTGGAGACAAATCGATGTTTTGTAGTTTGCAGCACACAGGTCTTGAACTTCTTTTGTTAAATTTATTCCTAAATGTTTTATTCTCTTTGATGCTATCAGGAGTGGATCCATCTCTTAACTTTCCATTGTGCTACAACCCAGTTGTCCAAATTTCTGTGGGATGTTTCAATTAGAATATCCCACCGAGCCCCTGGCCTCACAGAGCTTACAGTCTACCAAGCAAGACACTGGGAAAGTATCAAAAGGGCCAATTTTATATTCTGTATGGGAGTGAGGGGCATATACTTGGTATTCAGTAGAAACTTTCTCGTTTACTGACTAATTTACGGATCGAGATGGGATTTGAGCTGGCCGTCCCTAAGTGGTTCAATAGGATTTAGACAGGAAGATAGATTATATTTAATCGAGTGAATGTGGTCCCCCAGCCCTATATCATATCTTTGTGGAATATGGGAGAAAATGTAGGAGCAAAGGACCACTCCCTGTCCTCAGATGTGATGTCACTCTTATTTCTATTAGGCATCTTTAGGGACTATGATACTATGAAAAAAATAGGAGTTAGCATTGTCATTCTCCCAGGTCCTTTGCTTAAATGTCAATACAAACCTTAATTTTTAGTTCCAAATTATTTTTGGGTAAGAACTATAACTCTCAACTGAAACAATTCAAGAGAATACTAGTTGATATAGGAAATCAGGAATTATCTAGTTTTAATCCTTGACGTATTCTGGCCACACGAATAAAGGTTTTTCTCATTTTCACTTTTTAATGAGGATACTAAATCACAAGAAGATTGTCTTACCTCTGCATTCTTGGTTTCCTGCTATATCATCCTTTTGAAACTTTTTATCATGGAAGATTTTAGACAATCACAAAAGTATAGAGAACAATATAATGAGCTCTTATGTAACTATCACCCAGCTCTGATGATTGTAAACTTGCCCTCAGCATCTCCTAAATCAATTTTTTCTGTGACATTAACATTCAAAACTATTTTCTCCTCTTTCTGTGTGCTCGTATACCCTTTTACCTTCCAGAAAATGCATCTAGTTGTCTTAAAAATGGAGCTATAGGATCACAGATTTCCCAATTTGCTATGATTTCTAATTAGCTATAACTTTTTATATACTCTCGTTGTCATCAGTCATTGAAGAAGCACGAAGACTCATCTCCACAGAAGATGCTTGTGGATGCAAAGCCACGCTGGCATTCCAGGATAAGGTCAGCTTGTATCTGCAGAGGCTGAACACCAAAAATATCCTTTCTGGAAGGTTTCCTGCTTCTGCCTGAAGCCAACCTAGGTACTGCAGTTGAACCAATCATTTTAGGATATTCCACAGGATAAGGCCCTATGTTCTTTAAGTTTTAAGATGAACCATAGTAATACTGTACGGCTTTTATTTTTTAGATTTAGAATTCTTTTTAAATGCTTTAATAGGCTGTTTCACCCCATTCACTATTTGCATATAAAAGCTGCCCGTTTATTTTTCTCGTCCTTTTCCATCTTAACAGATGGAGCTATTATGCTGTGATTCCTTACTACGGCTTTCTTAGTTTAGAGTCTATACATGCACAGAATGAGTCACCTGATTAATGGGGTGTGAAAGCTGAGACGGCGCGTAGTTGTACACTTTGGCTAGCCCAGGGGTGCAAAAGCAGATTTCAAAATGTAATGTGGTGCCATCTCAGAAACTTTCAAAACCAGTTCTTTAGCCAAAGGAGTAATTCAGGAGAAGTCTTTTTTTCTTAGCTCAAATTAACACTCTTCCTAGGGATCTTAGGGGAGTGGTATTCAAATTGTGATAGGGGTACTCTAGGAGTAAGTAGGCTTTCAAGAGGTATGGGGTGTGTGTGTGTGTGTGTGTGTGTGTGTGTGTGTAGAGGGTGGGGACAGTTTTAAAGGGACCAGTTTCCAAATTCTTCACTTCCTTAAGTCGATCTGCCTGAAATGCTACTTGGGATCAGTTGGCTTTCTCTTGTCCCATCTCTCACTTCAGTATCACAGGAAAGGCGTGTCTCTCAGGTAACCTGAATCTTACCAAGGTGAATTTCTTAGAAAAGTCAAATCTGCAGAGAGCCAAAACAAAGAGACGATTCAACATTTTTTTAAAAATCAAGGCTTCATGACACTGCTCCCTCAATCCATTCCATTAAGCGATACCTTTTCAATTAAATTTTACCTTTTATTTTTAATGATTTTATGTCAAAATTTGTAATATATTTGTTATATGGATCCATTTATGTGCTCATAATAGTTGTAATGATAACTCAATCCAGGTGATTAAAAAAATTAAGGCCTTATGGTCAAAGAAAATTAATTTAAAGGTAATTTCAATATAAATGTGTGTGTGCTTGTTGTTTAAGTTTGCATCAGAGAAGTATAATAGAGTGATCAAGAAAAGATTTCCAAGATTCAAAGTAGAATAAAATTCTGTGGAGAAGGTGGGAAGGAAATATAAATTCAAAGAAATACAAATTCCTTTATTTTAAATATTTTATTTTGGAAGAATAGTACTAGGTATCAATTCAGTATAGTGTTAATATTACATGGAATATATTTGAAAGACTGATTTAAATTTTATTTTAGAGACTCAGTATTTATAATAGCAGAAATTGCATATATTATAACTAAAACTTAAGACAATTTTCATATAATTTAAATATGCTCAAGACATCACTTATTTATCAAAATTATTTTAGAGGACATATGAGTAAAAAATGTTTGAAGACCAATGCTTTATATCAAGCTCTCTAAAGAACAGAATTTCTGAGTTTTAGATTATATTAGACTTTTGATGAGAAAACAATTTCACTCTTTTTCTTTATTTACACTAAAATAATTATTTTTTTATCTTGTACTAAAGTGTTTGAAAGTGTATCTATGTTTTCTAATGTCTAAAAACAAATGGTGTTGGCCTTAACAACTAGCCACTCGATGACATTTTGGAGAAGTTGCAAGCAAATGAATATGGACAAATACATCGTTAAATTGCTCAAAATTTTCACCCGCAAATATGGAGAACTTAATATATTTAATACTTTTGCAATGTTCCTGATAATAATTTGCCATTACAAATGCTTGAATATTACTGGATAAGTAGTTTGAGGATCTTCTGGAGAATCAGTGTCATTTTTTCTAAGGAAATAAATGTCCAGATCCTTAGTAAAAGCAAACTTTAGTGTCTCTAAGCTATGACTGTGAAATGGTTGGTAGTCAATAGAATGAAAGTTCAATATTCTTTTATTTACTAATTGAGCCATTTAATTTTTAAATGTTTATATTAGTAAGATAACCACACTTAAGTGGGAACATTTGATCTATTTTCTCTTGATAGTATTTATAGTATAAACCAGTTTTATTACTGAGAGTGTAAATTGTACAAAGTATTTACACTTTTAATTAAGGAATTTAATTAAAAGTTCCTTTAATTAAATTGAGGTGAATAGAATTTAGAACTGTTTCTTTAATACTTTTCATTTTTTGCTCATTTTTGCTAATTATTGAAGTTGTGATCAGGGGATTATAAAACATATAACTAAAACTAGTTAACAAAGATCAAGTGAACATTACATGCCATTTTTCATTCATTCTGATGTTAGAAAGGAACAAATGACTAAAAACTTTAGTTGTGAATTAAGAGTGTTATAAATCCTAAATTTACTTTATCGTTTTACTTTAGGATCTAATCAACAAAATTTATATTTATAAATAATAAATGTATTTCATAATAAAATATAACAAGAAAACCTAATGTCGTCTTTTTAAATGTTAGTGATAAGCCTAACAACTTCTTTTCACTTATATATTTGATGCATATAATTTTTTTCAGCTTTAAAGCTTATAACTTTTAGAAGAAAACAGTCCTTTAAATTGTGTACTACTCAATTCTCTTTTTGGTTTGTATTGTCTTTAGTATAATAAAAAACTTAATATCTATTTATTATTGTCATGCTTCTTTTTGGTGACTTATTGTACTGATTTTGTCTTTTAACATATTTCCTTAAATTACACTGAATTAGGTTGACAATGCAACAGTTTCTTGTCAAAGAACACAATGTTGTGACTCTTCCTATAATTTATTCTCATGCTCTTAAGGTTAAAAATGTAACTTCAGGTTAAACGGAAAGGCTTTGATCAAGAATGTTGTGGGAGAGGGACAAACAAAATTATCTAAATTTCGATAAAATAATGATGAGAGTACATTAATATATATGCCTTAAAAGCAAATAGAACTTACAGATGTAAACCCAGAAACAGTCATAAATCTAAAATATAAACTTTAAGGGGAAGAAATGAATAATAAACACATATATTATATGCAACATATATTGTTATTTCTCAACACCATTGAAAGGACACAACATTGAGCAGTATTATTTCCCAAACTCATTTGAGCACAGAGCAATTGTGCTGTAAAGAAGAGCTCACGTGCAAGGACTGGGGAAGGTTATTTAGAGGTGATTTTTCAAGAGTGACTATTAGTAACTAGCTACAACTAACCATGCCTTAAATTTAACCAGTTGGTTGGAATCCCATCTTAGATAATACTCATTTTCTTCATGAGTCTAGTTAGTATAGGGAGCCCATGAGTAGGTGCCAACATATCTTAGGAATTCACAGTTTGGTGCTGTGAAAATGCAGATACATATACATTTGAAACGAATACGTATTATCTGAGTGGGATGGGGGGTTAAGTGTGGAAAGAATGTCTCAGAGAGACTTGATTGGTGCGTTTGGCTGGGTACAGGTGACCAAGAGGGTAGGGACATCATAGGATATGTAAAATGGCCTTGGAAGCAGAGAGCAATGGTGGAATGCAGACAGCATATGGGCATGCTTAGAGTGGGGGCACCACAGTAAAGACATTTTAGGATTGAAGAAAGATCTGATTTTAGCTGAGGTTTAGATTTGGTAGGAAAGGCACTAGGACCATTGTTAATTCTCGAGTGTGCTGGGTGAGATGACAGACTCAGGTCAAAAATTTGAACTTTATTTGCCTGAGATGGGGAAAATCTCTAGGTGGTAAAATTAGCTACTGTCTGCATAAAGTATATACTAGATTATGGGAATCAACAGTGGTAGCTGCAGAAATGGCAAAAGGGAAAACCAGAGATAAATAAAAAATGGGCGAGCTTGAATAATTTCACGGGAGTTTGTGCCCTAAAATTGTGGTGCTTTGTAACTCTCCAAGGATTCAAAAAGGACAGGAGAGAATTGAAAAAAGAAATAAAGTAGAAGAGAATAGTTGACTCCAGGCCAGAAAATGCCAAAACACCTATTTAAAAATGGAAGGCTATGCCCCAATGGCGGTTATATGCTGCAATGGCCCAAAGCTCATACATATTCTTTTTATAAGGCCCCTTGGGCTGCAGCAACAGCTTAAATAAACTGTTAAAAAGTCCTAAAACAAACAGAATAAACGCAAACGCCTACCCCCAAATTGCTCCAGGGTGTTCCCCAATCCCCAAAGACGCAAGGGTAGATTTGCAAGCTCTGAAAACGCATGTTTGTCCTTTCATTTGGCCGAAGGAGCAACCGACCAAATACAGTTAATGATTTTTCCCTTTCAACAATTTTGGGGCTTCGGGGCTTCCAAAATACCCAATAATTGTGACCTCATTAGAATGAGCGCCTTTCCTCTTAAATTACTACTGACATCTCATGCAAGTTTCACCGCAATCATCCGAAGTGTGGCGTGCGCTCCGAGCCCGCTGGGGCAAGGGCATGTTAGGTGAAGGGGCAGGGCAATGAAGGTCGGCGACTTGGCCCTAAGTTATGAGCAGGAAAGCCCAGGAGCAGAGGCGAGTTACGAGTCATATAATTAATGACTTTAACACCTTAGGGACAGGATCGCCGATGGCACAAGGCCCCCGACGTCCGCGCAAGCGCATGACGCCCGTTGGTGGAGGAGTTGCCGACACCGGAAGTGTCCCCCGGCGCCCCGGATGCGACAGGGCGGCGGCGGTTGCTAGGGCGACGGGAGCGTCAAAGAGCCGCTGGTACTGGCGATTGGCGACTTAGAACGTTTCCAGTTGCGGGCCTTAACGGCTGGGGTCGTCCTCTTGGGGGTCCCAGGATGTTCTTTTACCTGAGCAAGAAAGTGTTTTGAGGG